GTCTGCTACCACATATTTTCTGTGCTGTTGAATAATTCCTATTTAGTGCCTTAAAAATAGGTGACTCGTTCGTACAGTTGATCTTTTGAGTACTGATGGGAAATCTTAGCACCACTTAAGCCCTAACAATGTGAAACGTTGCCACTTTCAAAGTCACGTGGCTGGAGTCTCCCTCCTGTGTGAGTCCTCCTGTGTGTGGATATGCGAGTGAGTTATATGTTGCTTTCCTTTTTCTGTGTGTAATAATTTGCTATTGCAACCAAAGAAATGCATATTACATAGAGCCTCATCAACTACCATTACAGATGGGAGTTTTGTTTAAGAGAATATACCCTGGATTTTTCTCTTTTTAAAATAGAGACGGAGTTCTCACTGTGTTGCCCATGCTGGTCTTGAACTCTTGACCTCAAGTGACCCTCCTGCCACAGTCTCCCAAAGTGCTGGGATTACAGGCATGCATGAGTCACTACACCCAGCCCTGTAATTTAGCTAAAGATATGTCATTCTAGGCTTTGAATGGCGGCTCCTGCCTGTAATCCCAGCACTTTGGGAGGCTGAGGTAGGAGGATCACTTGAGGCCGGAGTTTGAGGTCAGCTTGGACAGCATAGCTAATCCCTGTCTCCACAAAAAAAACCAACAAAAATTAGTGGGGCATCCTTGTATAGGACTGCAGTTCCCATTACTTGGGAGGTTGAGGCAGGAGGATTGCTTGAGCCCAGGAGATTGAGGCTGTAGTGAGCTGTAATTTCGCCACTGCACTCCAGCAGAGCAAGACCCTGTCTCCAAAAAATAAATAAAAAAAAAAATAGATTTCTAACAGCAAAAGGACCTCATCATTAGCAGTTAAGTTTATAGTATGCCCAAGTTAACATGGATCCCTACAGACAGAAGCAAAAGTATTAATAAACTTAAATTTTAACAATTATTTGATCAGTTGGTTATAATCCTACCTTTCCACTCACCTTTGTAAAGTATCAGCATGCTTATGCTATTATAGCACTTATTTGCTATAAATTAAGTTTAAATAAAATGATTTTGCATTGTTATGCAATTGATTGATACTTATATTCCAGTTGGGAATTACTGTTTGATATTTCTGTATGCAACATAGATATAAGTCATACTACATTTAGTCAAAGTCTGGACTCTGAAGGAACTTTAAAAATCCTTGATGAAATTTTTCTCTGTTAATGGCATGCTCATATTCAACAAAAATTTTCATAAGGTAAACGCCAGTCATTACAGATGTCCACATGTGCAAGGAACAGTACAGTCTCTTTTTGAGATGGAGCCCCGCTCTATCTTGCCTAGGCTGGAGTGCAGTGGCATCATCTTGGCTCACTGCAGCCTCCACCTCCCAGGTTCAAGTGATTCTCCTGTCTCCGCCTCCCCAGTAGCTGGGACTACAGGTGCACACCACCACATCTAGCTAATTTTGTATTTTTAGTAGAGAAGGGGTTTCACCATGCTGGCCAGGCTGGTCTTGAACTCCTGACCTTACCAGGCATTGTGGCTCACGCCTGTAACCCCAGCACTTTGGGAGGCTGAGGCGGGCGGATCACCTGAGGTCAGGATTTTGATACCAGCCTGACCAACATGGAGATAGTCCATCTCTACTAAAAATACAAAAATTAGCCAGGCTTGGTGGTGCATGCCTATAATCCCAGCTACTCAGGAGGCTGAGGCAGGAGAATTGCTTGAACTGGGGAGGTGGAGGTTGTGGTGAGCTGAGATTGCACCATTGCACTCCAGCCTGAGCAACCAGAGCAAANGAGATAGTCCATCTCTACTAAAAATACAAAAATTAGCCAGGCTTGGTGGTGCATGCCTATAATCCCAGCTACTCAGGAGGCTGAGGCAGGAGAATTGCTTGAACTGGGGAGGTGGAGGTTGTGGTGAGCTGAGATTGCACCATTGCACTCCAGCCTGAGCAACCAGAGCAAAACTCCATCTCAAAAAAAAAAAAAAAACAACTCCTGACCTCAGATGATCCACCTGCCTTGGCCTCCCAAAGCGCTGGGATCACATGTGTGAGCTACTGCATCCAGCCACTTCTATTTAAAAAAATTTTTTTTTCCATCCTAGAACTTCCCCATGCAATTATAATAGGAATTAAAACAAAAACTATAAGGATGTTCAAAGCTTCCCTAGCCATGCTAGCAATGAGATGATGATAAATCCAGGGTTAGACTTCACTAGCAATCAGGACTCTGGAAATACTGATGCCAAATGGAGAGGCAAGTGGGCGGTGCACTGTGGTTCCGTGTTTTTCCTGTTATTCGTGAATTTAAGGGCAAAGGAGCACACTCAACTCTGCCTGTATGTCGTCTGCCTGAACACTGCAAATCAGCAATGTCATCTTGCCTGACATGTTTGATCCAACTCAAGGAAGGACAGTTCCACTAACAAATCTGAACAATAGCTGTGCTTGAGATAAGGTGGTAAGTTCAGTGTACAATTAGTTTTGAGACTGCACTTTTGTGGTTGGAATTTTGGAAACATGCCCCCTAGAAGCCGTGCTCACTACGTTTTCCAAATTTTAAATTTAGAATTTAAGAACATATTCCAATTTTTATTTACTTTTGCTGTCGTGGCCCCTTTGGAGGCAGTTAGATGATGCCCCCTTCTTGGGCTGCAGTCCCAGGCCACTGAGAGTGACTCTGTGGCTTTCAATAGAGCAGGGCTTCCTCTGAACGGAGGACTTGAGTGAAGACTAGGAAAAGATGGGGGTGGGAAGGAGGGTGGGCAGGGGGTGGGGTGGGTGCTATTTCTTTTTTTTTTTTTTTTTT